GTAGAATTTCAAATTAATTTTCAGGAAAAAGAATATAGGAACACTAACGGAAACTGCATGAGAAAACAACTTTTGGTAGAGAAAACATTTATGACAAGGAGAGAATTTTTAGGCCAGTCGAATGCCATTTTAATTTTCAGGAAAAAGAATAAAGGAACACTAACGGAAACTGCATGATAAAACAACTCAATAATCAATTAACACATAACCAAAGATCTTCTAATTATGATGAGGTTAGGAATGTATTTTAGTTTAGGGCCGTACCACTAAGAACACAATTATATTCTAATTTTTATCAAAATCCCGTCGAAAACGAAACTAAACAAAATGGTTTTGAATTTCAGTTTTTACTCATCAAGAAGTTTGTAACAATTACATTAAGAACTTGGAAATTTATATCGAATACAGTAGCAGTCAATTCAAAAAAAAAACTATATCGAAAGGTTCAGAAAACCAAACTTTCGAGGATATAATTAAAAATAAAAATTTAAATTATGATAAGTATTACCAAGGACAGTAATGGTTCATTTTTTAAAACCTGTTGTAAAATATTTTACGATTTGATTAACTTGCCCAACTTTTGTTTATTTTTATTTGACTATGCGAGTGATTCCTATTTATTCAAAACATCCAAAGACTAGTAACCTCCAGAAAACTAAAAAAGGAGTGTTTGGATGTTTTGAATAGCATAGGAATCACTCGCATAGTCAAATAAAAATAAACAAAAGTTGGGCAAGTTACTCAAATTTTAAAATACCTTATCCAGTTTTAAAAAATGAATCATTACTGTCCTTGGCAATACTTATGATAATTTAGATTTTTATTTTTCATTATATCCTCGAAATTTTGGTTTTCTGAACCTTTCGATATAGTTTTTTTGAATTAACTGCTACTGTATTCAATATAAAGTTCTAAATGCAATTGTTACAAACTTCCTGATGAAAAAAAAAACTGAAATTCAACACCATTTTGTTTAGTTTTGTTTCCAACGGGAATTTGATAAAAAATTAGAGTATAATTATGTTTTTAGTGGTGCGGCCCTAAACTAAATTACATTCTTAACCTCATCAAAACTAGAAGATCTTTGGTTATGTTTTAATTGATTATTGAGTTGTTTTATCATGCAGTTTCCGTTAGTGTTCCTATATTCTTTTTCCTGAAAATTAATATGACATTCTACTGGCCTAAAAAACCTCTCCTTGTCATAAACGATTTCTCTTCCATCAGATTTCTTTTCGGTTTTGTTCTGTGTGTTTTTTATATCCAAAACAGTTTTTTTAGTCAGATCTGTCCTATGACAACATTTGCACAATTTGCTATTGTAGTGAGTTATTTCTGGCTCATCTGGAATATTTGCTGTTTCATCTTTCTTGCTAGAATAAAAAAAGGCTAGTTACTGCAATACTGAGATCTCTACTGCAGTACTACTGTTTCAGTTAGATAGCTAGTAACTGCTGCAATACTCTGATCTATTATAAAACTGGTTATTTCTTTAACTTGATTCTTTATTGTTCCGACTGCCTTTTAAGGTTTATGGAGCAGTAATAACATAAAAATTTAAATGTAATAAATAAAATTGAAAAACTTTTTCTTGTAAAATTTGAAGTTTTTTTATGAAAATCATCATCCCACACGCCATATAAAGTACAAAAGGATAGATTTCGCTCCTTGTAACAAATGAATTATGGCAAATAAGCTTCTTTCAACCAATTCGGAACGATTTCCAAATCGGATTAACTCTCCGCTTACACGTTAATAGCGCGAAATATATCGCGCGTTAATTGTCCCAAATTGGCCAAAATGGCAATCTTTAAAGCCCCATAACTTTACGAAAACTGATCACAGGTGAAATATCTTTTCAAATTTGAGCTCAGCAAAACAATACCATTTGAATGATTAAAAAAAATCGTCAAAAAAGGCTAGTTAAAAAGTCGAAATTTGTCTGAAGAAAAAAACCCACCCCGAGCACAAATATTCCGTCACTTTCGTACCGAAAGTCGGAACAACAAGGGTTAACAAAAATCTGACCGCCATAAAATCATAGGAGAAATTTTTTGGGTCTAGCTATGGTTGAAGTTCTTGTCGAGTTCATCTAAAACTTTTCTTGACTTTCTGGTCCACCTTTGATGAGATTTCACTTGTCATTTCTTTGTCGACGGCGCCCAAATTAACGTTTGCTTATTTTTGAAATTTGGTGCTAAGTTAAGAAATAGGGAGCCGAACCTTACTAATTCTGGTCCAGAATTATGACAGAAAAGAACCAGCTTTGCACTAATTGTCTTTGTGAGAACAAAAATGATCTTCAAATTTAGGTGTTCTATCTGATGAACGTGTACGGCCAGTTGTTTATTCTGGACAGTTTTCTGGGTCCCAAGTATCATGCTTATGGGGTGGAAGTGATAACCTCAGTGTTCAACGGACAAGACTGGACCAACAGCCGCAGATTTCCCACCATCACTCTTTGCGACTTCCCCGTAAGACCAAAACTATATAATGTTAATTGCACAAACTCCAAGAAAAACACTAAAGTTATTCAGTTGTACTGCAAAGATTATACAACAAAGTGAAAAGTCAAATACTGCTTGAAGACTTGACTTTCAAAAATCTCATAATATTCTCACACCTCTCCCGGTCGATATGAGCCTGATTATAGTATGATATTTGGTGGAAATCGTTTTTTTATGCATACGAATTTTTGGATCCATAACTACTTCTGCGTCGGATCTTCATATAATCCCCTATCTTGAACTTTGACCTCACAAGTTCTGGATAAAAGTAATGGAAATTTTCCGAATGATTCAACTTGTGAGTGTTGACAGGTGCGCTCTCTGGGCAATCTGCAGCGATACACAGTGCAGTGTGTTTTGAGCATCAATCTATTCAACGAGAGAATCTACCTATGCATATGGTTCATGTGAGTCCAAATCTTATGCGCATTTCATTCGAAAGCCCAAAAACTGTATGGGTTTCATTTAAAAGCCCCATCTTTTGCATGCTCAGGCGGTTTTCCCTTCAGACAAATTTCAACAAATTTTTTACGAAGTGTCAAATTTTTACCTAACAAAATTTTGATGAAATTTTTATGCAATTCTGATGTCAATAGTGTCAATGGTGAAGCTTTTAGAACAAATCTAAAAAAAAATGTTTCATCTGTCAACATCTTTCGTCAAGTTATGGGGCTTTGAACAAAAAAAACGTTTGAGCAATTTCGATTGATCAAGCGTACTACTTTGTATTAACAAACCTTATAAAAAGTTTTAGCTGACTCAATGTTCTCGTTTCTTTTATCAAAAGCAGTAGCGTTGCGGGGGGGGGGGGCTAGGAGCGGGGGGCACGGTTTTTTCAATTCTGGTTGCTAAGTTCTTCAAAGCTTCCCCCTTTTGGTATGATTTAATGATATCCATTTTTGGTTGAGCAATCTTAAAAATTTTCTGAAAAACTTTCTGAAAAATTTTCTGAAGTTTGAGGGGGAGCGCGCGCCGAAAAAAAACTTTTGGTCATTTTTTTTAAAGTGCTTAAAGTGCGTGTCATGTTTATCCTGCTTTTTTTCCTCAAAAATTTGCCTGCCGCTCAGAAATTTGTTGACTAAATAAGGTTATTGTAGTTTTTTTGGAGTGCTTGCAAATCAAAATGTTCGGCCTAAGAAAAGGTCGACAAAGGTTTCAAAATTTTTTGAAAAACCGAAACCCCACCTGGAAAAATTTCTGCCACCTGGAAGATACGAACAGTCTTAGCTTTTCTGCCGTTTCATACCCCATATTAACATCATCATTTGCATATTAACAACATCAAATTTTTTTCTCAATTTTTGGCCGCGGTTATCACTTTCACGCTCAAATATGCGTTTTTGAAATGAAAAATGCATATAAAGTTTTTGTTATTTTTGTCTAAAACATTTTCCAGGCTGAATTTTTCATACAAATGGAAACAAAAGAATCAAAATTGAATAAAAAATTTTGTGCGAATCCAAATTTTTGTTATTTTTAATTTGAAAGATAAATTTATTTTACCGAAATTAATCAGGTTACGTTTTTCGACAAGTAAAGTTTTGGAATAAAAACTTTCTACTCCTGTTCAAAAGCTACCTGTTTTTATTCATAGTTCTGAGTGACTTCGAAACTTTATCTCACACAATTATTTCTCAAATAACGAGTAACTTTGAGAATTTTTGCTCCAGTCAATGGAGTTAATTGTGTTGAAAAAAAACACAAAAATAGTTCGCAAGCAAAGCTGGAAAAATAATCATTTTTTGATTTATAGAAAAAATTTTATCAAGTAAATTTTATAAATGAAAAAAAAATTATGTAATGTTTTCTCAGAACTTTTGTACGTAAGAAAGTGTACGATAAGCGTTTTTCTCTAGATAAGAATTGTAGGATCTGCAGCTTTGATCAGCTCGGATAAAGCTTTAGAGAACAAAATCATAACCTCTTCCCGAGTTAATAGATGGCATTTGATGATACAATGATATAATTTTCATCAAATGAACAACCACAACTTTTTACTTTTTTTGCTTTTTCTTTACATTTTATGAAAATATGTATTTGAAAAATCCAGTCCGTACAATTTGGCTGTTCAGTTATTTTAAAACTAGAATCGTTAAACGGTATGAATTTTTTTGCGCTTTTTCTTTTTTTTTTTTGATTTTGGAATAATTTGATACATCTGGCAGATAGTTTGGCAATTCTAGTTTTGAATAAGCTGAAAAAAGCGGACCAGATCATTAAAACAAAAAAGTATTATTATTACGATTATTTTTATTATGATTATTATTATTATTATTATTATTATTATTATTATTATATAGAAGAAACTTACGTCATTTTTTTGCTTTTGGTGGTTTTGTTTTCTCCAGACAGTTTTTGATTTTTAACAGTCAATTTTTGACGGTTTGTTATAATATCAGAAAAATGTCTTGAGCTCGAAAAAAATGTATCATAGCTATGACCGTTTTTTTTTGCAAAGTTAAGGAATGTTGAAAGTTGGAAGTTGAAAATTGGGATAAATATGGTGCGATATATTTAAAGCAAAGGCAATAAATAGTTTTTTTGTTTTTTAAAACAATAGTTAATTCTAAAATGAGAATTTTTGTTCAATTACGGGATCTACCTAACAATCTCTCCCCCCTATGATTCCTTCTTAAGAATCTCCACCCCTATGAATAAAAACAGTAAGTTAGCGCTAGAGCTTTGTACTGAGAATTGTGATTTTGCTGCATTCTGATTGGTCGAAAATTCCACTTTTTGTATATTCTTAACAATTTACCCCCTTTCTGAAAAGGGGAAATATTGTTAAGTAGATCCCAATTAAGTAATCAAAAAAATTGAAATCTGAAACTCCACAAAACAAAAATTTCCATAAACTAAATTGAAATAGGACTGCTTATATCATGGTGTTTCCCAAATTGTTTCGACAGCCCTATACGATATTTGAACTAGTGATCGATTAACAAACTTATATGATTAAGCAAAATAAATGGAAAAAACTTTTATTTGTTTTGAAACTCTAACTCCGCACGTTTTTTATAATAAGAAGTGATTTGTTTAGCATAAAGTTACGTATTAATAAATACGACTAGAGTGCCTTAAATCAATTTGTTTTCTGAGACAGATTAAATTGCCTCGTTAATAATTGAAGAGTATAGCATGTAATTTATACTAAATTGGCCTGACTGGCTTTTTCAAACGCTCATAACTTTTTGGAAAATCATGACAAGAAAACGTCAATAAAAAATAATGACAATATTTTTCAGACGATGTAGAGAAATTGATAAAAAGGCTAGTTCAAAAGTCGGAATTGGCCTAGCGAAAAAAAATCGCAAATTTTCCATCACTTTCTTTGAAAGTTGGATCAAAAAGATAGCTCATGCCTTGAGTCCCATTGTTTCAAAGATATTGTTTCTAGCTCAGGAAAAACTAATTTATTGTTCCGACTTTCGATACGAAAGTAACGGAATATTTGTGCTCGGGGTGGGTTTTTTTTTCTTCAGACAAAATTCGACTTTTAACTAGCCATTTTTGACGGAATTTTTTTATATCATTCGAAAGGTATTGTTGTCCTGAGCTCAAATTTGAAAAGATATTTCACCTGTGATCATTTTTCGTAAAGTTATGAGGGTTTAAACATTGCCATTTTGGCCAATTTGGGACAATTAATGCGCGATATATTTCGCGCTATTAACGCGTAAGCGGAGAGTTAATCCGTCTTAGAAATCGTTCCAAATTGGTTTAACGAAGCTTATTTACCATAATTGATTTGTTACAAGTAGCGAAATCTATCCTTTAATACTTTACATGGCGTGTGGGGGGATGATTTTTATAAAAAATTTCAAATTTTTGAAAAAAAATTTCATTTTGTTTTATTACTTTTTAATTTTTTAATGATTTTACTGCTCCATAAACCTTAATGGGCAGTCGGAACATTCAGGGCTTCGCCCTGATACGAGCAGTCTTGTATACTTTTGTTTCGCAACTCAAATATAACTATTACTTATTTCGTTTTATTGATCTTGTAATTTACTGACACTTAGCCGAACTCAAAGTCACCAATCAGTATGCTTGAAACACTTTACAGGTCACTTCAAATTATTTGACCAAAGCATTTTTATGATAGCGTAAGGGCAGGGTATTAAGTTTATCTGCGCTTTTACACATGACCATTTGTTCAAATATGACAGCAATTTTAAAATGGCTTAGTTAGTCACTGGTAATTTTTTTGATTTTTCAAGTCTTCATAATGGTTTAGAATCCTAAGTATTTAAAATCCTTTAGTATAAACCCTTATTAAGTTATTTAATCCTTTAATATAAACCTTTTCCATTATTTAGTGTTCTGATCTTTTTTGATAATTTTGTTTTGTTCAGTTGAACTTAATCTCTCATATCTCCTCCTGTGAACAAAATTGCAGTCCATACAATCACCTAAGCAAAAAAAAATCATGTTCTGCATGAAAAAGATTATGTAACGCAGCGCTTGAATCGAAATTTGAAATTAAAAAGCAATGTTATGAGTTGTGTAAATAAAAACCGAGAATATATCTTCTTTAAATCGAATTTATTATTATTTATCATTAGGTGTGTGAATACACCCGTAATTCCGAAATATCAAATAGATATTTCGATCCGAATTGGTAAATATGTCGTGTCACGTGATATGAATGTGTAGGTTGTTGAGTGTGGCCATAGTGACCAGTCTGAACACTGTGATGTGGGCATGGCGACTGTGTCTTCGCTTCAACCGCATTAAATACATCATGAAACACCTCAAACTCACGGCCACCATCAGCGGAGATTCCAACACAGAAAAGGCAAGATATTCTTTTACTGAAAATACTAACATTTTGAATACTAAGAACAAGTTCTAACACTTTGCAACATCAAGTCAAGAGTTTTGAAGGTCTCATGAAAATAATAAGGTTCTTGATGACTAACAACCAAGATTTACAAACTTTTAAGGAATAACGTACGTTATATCTTAAAAGTATGTAAATCTTTGTTATTAGTCATCAAGAACCTTATTATTTTCAGGAGACCTTCAAAACTCTTGACTTGATGTTGCAAAGTGTTAGAATTTGTTCTTCAAGACTTTTCAAAGTTTCTTCAAATGTGGGCAAGGATAGCAACAATTTTCGCGCACGAGGCAAAATTTTATTCGTGATAGCTTCACACATATTTCATAAGGTGAGCCGACAGTAGCGCGCGACCGTGTCCGACGTACGCCACCCTTTACTTCTCTATTCTGGTTGCCAATGTTTCCAAAGGGTCTCGCTTTGGTACTTTCTTTCGACACTCATTTCAAATGACCAACTCCCAAATTTTTCCAAAAGCGGCTGCTGCGCCAAAATAAAACAAATTTAAGAGGATAGCGCAGGCTGAAATGACGCGACTGTTTTGGTCAAAATCATTTAAAAACGGCTCAAAAGTACATTTTGCCTCGTTTTTGCTCTTAAAATGGCCTGCAGAGCAGAAGTTTTTGGCAACGTAGGGTCCTTATAAGACTTTAGGGATGTTTGGAAAATCAACTCCCCCACTCCCCAGAAAAATTCTTGCGCACGCCACTGCCATGTTGGTCAAACTCTTCAAGGAGCACCGTTGTTGACCTCTTGATCTATAATTAGACTCGCTCTAGTGTTATCTACCCGTTCTTCTAAATAATGTGTTACCATTAAGACAAGAACAAACGCAGTTTGTCGTGGCCCATAAAAGTCAGGTTCACAAGACCTCCCTTTTCAAAACCAAAGGGGGCAACGTTGGTTTTCCAAGCTGAACCCATCATTAATTTGGAAAAAGATACACCTCTAACGGATTGACTCGATTGTTCAAGGCAGGCTTCAGAGCACTTCTTATCAGAGGTTTTGAACCTGGTTACATCTGTTTCGAATAGATCAAATCCGTTTCGTGACATTTTTTGACTGAAATTTAATCCTTTTTAATCTATGATTGGCACTTTAGAGGAAAGATTTGCTTTGATAATGTTTGTTTACGCCAACATGGTGGTGAAATGCACGATAAGGAAGGAAAAATAGAGACGACGGGGCCAATATGTATGGTTTGAAAAACGAAGAGCAGTTTATCAGAAAACTAGTTTTTGGGTTATTTTTCAGTCGGGAGATTTTACTCAACTCAATTTGCTGATGTTTTTAGAGGCTAGTGGGCCAGTTTGTCGACCAATACTTGCGGCACGACGGAGCTTTCATTTTCAAGCTTCTAGCGCAGAACACAAACTCGCTCATAATTTCCGAGTTGATCACCGAAGTCTGGAAAACTTTTCTGCGGACGCTGAAAAAAGAGTGTCGTCGCTACAAGTGCAGTGAGCATGCGCCTCTAACAACACAGTCTTTGAAACAGTTGAACAGTTGGCTAGTTTGTGATCACGAACCTAATAATTCGTTCCCACCGAATTTAAACTCATTCACGTCGAATAATCAAACTTTCATGGCTTTTCCAACTCCACCGACACTTCAAAAACACACTAACGTCATGGAGCTAGCTCTACCTGGTAATAATTCGCACCTGCATATGTGGAAAATGGAAAATGAACTGAAAACTGAAGACACCGAAGACTATGATGATGGTGAAAATGACCCGCTGACCTCAAATGATCAGGCGACTGAAGAAAAATGCGCCCACGAGGTGAATTGCCCGAGAAGTGAATCACCATTTGCTCCTTTCGAACACCAAATGAATGGCTGAAAGGATATCTAGGTCAAAGGAACCATCTACACTGCTGATAACTTTGATTGCCGAATTCGCTCACCTTCATCATCTTTTCATTTCTTACAAAAACTTTTTTCGAAATTACATCTTTCATGTCTTTTCTGAATTGAAGTAGTAACGACCTCAAAGAAACCAACCTAGCCGTGCAATCAAGTTAATCTATATAAATTTTTATCTGAATAATAAATATCTGATTTATCTAACATTTACTTTCATATAAGATAATTAGCCAACAAGTGTTGAATCGAATCCAAATAAAACAGGAGGAGCTCAAAATGATCTTGAATAAAGCACGAAGCAGAAGAAGTTCCAAAAGCAGTTAACCTTAAAAAACTTTCAAAAAAACTGAAACACTTATTTTTGTGTGCTTTAAAATGATATCGAAAATTGATAAGATCAATTGCGAGTACAGTTTTGAGGTTTGTTTGCAGAATGGGCTGTCTCAAAGACCATTTTTTCCTTAATATGGTCTGATCAAGTGGTTTGATTAATTTTTTAGAGTAGAGTTTTTACAGTCGTTTTTAAATCTTTTAGCGTCGATTTGGGTTTTTAATTCAGTGATTCATAATGGTAGCTGGTAATTAGTGGTTGCTGTTAGCTGCTTTTTGCTCCCTTCCAACCGCGCTAATAGAAAAAATGAAAGCGTCGTTTTGAGTCAGAAGGCGATTGAATGGCATGTGATAAAACTATAATAAATAATAAATATAAAAGTTTGAAACAATCAACAGTCGAAACAATCAAGGCTTTCATTTCAGCAATCTTGTTCATAATCAAAACTTCTAAAAGCATAAATCACGCCAATGCATTTAAGGACACATTATTAAACTTTATGTTCTCACCCAACAAAAAAAGTATCCAGGACTTTTTGCTCTCTTAGATGAATACTCTCGTCTAACAGATCTTTTTCAATGTTTTTTACAAATCTATATGATGAACTTACTGGACCCAATGACTCAATTAGATTAAGAGCATTGCAAGACAATTTACTTAGACTTTTTTACTTGTTTGAATGTAGTTTCCATGAAAACTAAGTAAAATGTCATGCAATGCTCCTACTATAATTGGGTAATTGGGTCGAATAAGTTCACCCTTTAGGGTTGTTCAAAACATTGAAAAAGATCTGTTAGACGGATAGATTCATCTAAGAGTGCAAAAAATCTTGAATACTTTTTTGTTAGGTGAGAACATAAGCAGAGTAATTTGTACTTAAACTCATTGGCGTGTTTTGTTCTTTGAGATGCTTTAATTATGAACAAGATTGCCGAAATGAAAATCCTGATTGTTTTGACTGCCCTCTATTTGGTCTTAAATAATATTTGTTTGAGGAAATATTGGCAGTCGAGATGTTTTCATCTGATAATATTGATAATATGGCACAGCAACCGGAAACTTAGTTTAATATAGTGGTGAGCGCAACTCGTCTTCAAACACGGAGATTGAAAGATCGGGTCCCGAGAAAAACCTTCTTTGTAAATAGGTCTGTAAAAAATCGCCCGAGTACAAACATTCCTCGGTTACATGTCAGTATTTAGACAACCGCGTCTTCAGACTGGTCAGTATTTAGAAAAATACTGTTTCAACCAATCAGAATCGAGACAAAGAAGAAATTAATAAATAATTATTCTTTATTTTGGATTATTTATGTCTTTTCTCGATTCTGATTGGTTCATACAGTATTTGTCTAAATACTGACGAGTATGAATACGCGGCTGTCTAAATACTGGCTGCACTCCCATTCCTCACTTTCTTCGAAAGTCTACATAATACGCTGCATAATGCGCTGACTTCTTTTGAGTAACTTAATTATGCAGACCTGCTGCTTACTTTACTAAGAGAAAAAAAGGTTTAATACAGCTACTTTTGTTTCTTTGTTTATTTATCTAATGCTATGAGTCTCACTGTCTGTGCTTTAGATAGTCACTGATCCTAGTTGCACTTGAATTTTCGAGATTTATAAATATAAAAGGAGTACGAGCAAAAAATAGGTGTTTGCATAGTGTTTGAAACATCGCGGTTGGGCATTTAATACAGAATTAAGAAAATTGAAAAAACTGGACCTTCAATTTTTTCTTTTTTCTCCTTCAATGTTTTCTGTCCATTTCGTCTTGAATGACTTTCGACTGCCGGAATGGGTTGAATGTAGTCCTTTCTTCAAGCCTTCAAGCCCTCTGTATTGAAGCCTGGGAGTTTATTAGCTTTTTATCAATTAGTCCCGACATATTCTAGCAGTGGGAACTGGTTTTTCAAAATTTTCTGACTAAAAAGAAACTGAAAAGTTTTAAATTTTTCTTTTGCACAAAAAAAATAAAAGGAGAAAAGTTTGAAAAACTGACGAAGACATTGCGTGTTTTACAAAATGAAAATTTCAGAAAGCTAACTGAATATAAGACTTAAAGATCTGATACAACCTGTAGTGATTTTTGTCCAATAGCTTGCTTCTCTGCTTTCCTTCATATTCCTTTTCATCAAAATTTTTTATCAGAGCTTCCATATCTTTTTTAGATAAACAATATAAAAAAATTTATTTGATTATCTTGATCTTGAAGTTCAGAGCCTGCAAAACCTTTTGCGTAAATACCGGTGTTTATTTCTTTTATGTATAATTTCCAATTCAGAACACTTAATTTGGCCAACCCTTATGTCATCAAGTAACACTTGCAAATTCTTAAATTTTCAATTTGAACGGAACTGAAAATTCAAGAGCGCATTTTGCAAAATTTAAACTCAAAAAAGCAATAATTTTGGTCAGTTCGTCTCATTAGATATGAAATAGTTTTTTTTCTTAGTTCATGAAGTAAAATGGCAGATTTGGGCCGGGTAAATAAATATATGAATGAAGCAATATGAAGCATTTTTTAGTCAATGGTTTATCCAGGTAAAATTAACTTTGTAGAAAAGTGTCTCATTTATTCACTCCTATTCTTGAGTCAGGACAACAATTATAAGAAATTATAATTCTACATTTCAGCATTTGTTCAACGCACTTCATCAAATTGCTCAGTTTTCCTCTGTCATCAAATTCGACATTGAAACATTTCCCTGCGCTCTCTCTTTGTTGTAGCCGGGTTTAATGGAAAAATTAGGGCTCGCTGTGAGGTGGAAAATTTAGGGCTTGTTACGATTTTCCTTTTTACTTTTTAAGTAAAGTTTCTCTCTCTCTCTCTCTCTCTCTCTCTCTCTCTCTCTCTGTATGTCTTGTCTTTGGGTACATGCAGGGAGCTTCATCTCTTGTTTGGGTATTCCATCTGTTATGGATAGAAAATGATCGGAGTCTTGTCTTTTTGCACTGTTCTTTATTTTGTGATCCGCGGTCTTATCATTTTGTTTTTCTTTTCTTGGGTGTGTAATCGCACTGGTCTCAGTCCCAGAGGGAGTGCGGTCTGTATTTAGACAACCGCGTTTTCATACTCCTCAATAAGCAGACAAATACCATATTAGCCAATCAGAATCGAGATGAGAAAGAAAATTTTCAAAAATAATTAATTATTAATTATATTCATTTCTTCCTTGTCTCGCTTCTGATTGGTAATACAGTATTTGTCTACGTACTGACGAGTCTGAATACGCGGTTGTCTAAATACTGCTACGTAACCATTGGCCAGACTCTTTTTACCCCATAGTTTTTGGGTGTGTACTCACGCTGGTTGCAGACCTCTTCCATTGGGGAGACTCTTATTTCCCATAATTCTTTGTTGGCTCATAATCGGTGTTTGAACTTATGTCTAAACATCATATAATGAGTGTTTTATTATGTCCTACACACTATTGTAACGTAAAATAGTCTTAATGATCTTGAACAAACCAACCACGGGGAAC